GATGTGGGATCTTCCCGGACCAGGGCTCGAACCCGTGTCCCCTGCATTGGCAGGCGGATTCTTAACCACTGTGCCACCAGGGAAGTCCTGGTACAGGGTTTCTTTTGGGGGAATGAAAATGTTCTAAAATTGATTATGGTGATGGAGGCACAACTCTGTGGATATACTAAAAGCCACTGAATTGTACACTTTAAATGGGTGAGTGTTATGGTACATGAATTGTATCTCAATAAAGCTATTAAAAAATTCCTACCATGTAGGGCTCTTGGAGGACTAAATGACCTAAGTATACAATGTACCTAACACAGCATCTTGTATTTGGTAGTTAATGGATGCTAACTTTTAGTCTGTTGATAATCCTTAATAGGCTTGTTTATACAAAAGCTTAAAAATATGTCCTTTGTCAACACAAGAATGCCGTAACCTTTGGTAATCAGTGTTGTGCCTTGAGCAGGTGGTCCTTCCCTAACCCCAGTCCCAGTCCCTTCTTTGCCTGTTGAAATCCTACCTGTATCCCAGCTCAGCTTAAATGCCACCTCTGCAACACCTCTGTGTCGGTCCACCTAGAAATCCTGGGGCATTCAAAGGCAAGCTTTCGCCACAGTCTGGCTTGTTTCCTAATTCTTTGTGAACACTGCCTCTCCATGTGTCCTGCCCTCTGTGTCCAGCACCTGGCACGGAGGACCTGATCCTGTAACGAGAGGGTTTATAGCTCACATGCTCTGTCTCCCTGGCATAGAACCTGTAATGGGCAGAATTGTCCCATGGCCCTCATAACCTTTGCCCTCTGGTTACATGGCAAGAAGAATTTCATAGATGTAATTAAGGTTTCTAATCAGCTGACCTTAAGACAGAGAGATGGGCGGGCCTAACCTAACCACAGGAACCCTTTAAAGGCAGAGTTTTCTTCCGCTGGTAGCAGAAAAGGCAGAGAAATTCAAAGCGGCCTCTGAGAGCTGAGAGCAGTCCCCAGCAGGGGGAAAATGGGGCTTAGTCCTGCAATCACAAGGACCAGGGTTCTGCATGGAAGCAGGAATCTTGCTCAGAGCTGCCGGATAAGAGACCAGCCCAGCCCACACCTTGACTTGAGTTTGGCCTTGTGAAGCCCTCAGCTGAGAATTCAGTTGAACCTACCTTGACTTCTGACCTACAGATAATAAACAGGTGTTATCTTAAATTGCTATGTTTGTGGTAATTTGTTATGCAGCAATAGAGAACAAATATAGCATCTGTCTGTGGAGGGACATTTTATCCCCATTTTCTAAGTGAGGAGGCCCAGAGAGGTGCCATCAGTTGCCCAGGGTTGCACAGCGCACTAGTGGTAGGGCTGAGCCAGAGGCTACAGTAGGGGGGCAAATACTATCTGTAAAGGTCCAGACAATTAATATTTTAGGCTTTAGGGGTCATATGGTTTCTGCACTTAGGGAAATGTTTTTCTCCCTTTAAGGGTTGGAGACTGGTTTTTATCTGTGAAGGGGGACATTCTGATTTCTTTTAACTTATTGATAGTTTCTGCAATGTCCAGCTATTTCTTTTTATTGGAAAAGAGGTAGGGAAGGCAGTGGTTTTACTTTTGTTAGCGTGCCCAGGGCTCTGATGGATGAATCTGTAAAGTCCTGTGGGAGCTTGGGAGAGGGACCAGATAATTCTTCTTTGGGACACTGAGGAGACATCACCCAGAGAAGGTGACCTGTGACCTGTATTAAGGGAAGTGTATGAGCTCACCAGGCGAAGCTGGTAAAAGGGAGGGCCTTTGTAGCAAAGGTGTGGTATTGTGCTTGGGACACAGTGGACAGTAGTTCAGGAGTGGCATGGGAGGAGTGCAGGAAATGAAGCTGGTGTCGTTATTCTGAGGGCAGCGGGAAGCACTGAAAAGTTTAGGCAGGTGAGGGACTTACTGGGATGCTGCTTTGGAAGCTCAAGCTGGTGCCTGATGATGGGCAGAGAGCCTGAAGTCAGAGAGGCCAGCAAGAGGTGGGTAGCAGCAGCCCAGGCTGTAACTGAGGAAGGGCCAATGTGGCAAAAAAGGAGAAGTACATGTGGGTGTGGAAGATTCAGGCGGATGTGGATTTCAGCACTTACTCTGCCACTCCCCACTCCCATCCCCCCACTTATCAGCTGTGTGGCCCTGAGAAGGTACCAATATTTCTCTCTCAGCCTTGATGAATTGACTGAAGTGACAGTTCAATGGGAAAAGCACTGACTGGTGACGTCCAGTAAGTGGGTGCAAGTGGTAGTCCCCTCCCCCACACCTGGAGGCAAAGGCTGGTGACCGATTTTCTGCTCTGAGTTGCCCAGTGGTGCCGGGGAAAGCCTGAGGCTGATTGTTCAGAAAGGACGTGCAAGTATTCCCAAGCCTGCATGGTCCCCACAGTGCCTGGGCATCATGGCAGACTTCGGGGGCTGGGACCAGAGCCCCCAAAAGTGGGGAAGAGGAAGATGGAGCCAGAAGAACTGGACCAGATCCTCAGGTTTGAATCAACACCCGGTCCCAGTCTCCTCTGGTCCTGGCTCTGCTGGGTCTGGCTGGGCCCTGCACCAAGTCACATCTGGTCCCTGCCCTCATGGTGGTCCCCATCAACTAGGGGAGATTCACAAACTGAACCATCATGTAATACGAGAGCGTACCCAAGCCAGCTCCTCATAGGTAAGGTCTTACTAAACTATGAGGCCCTCATAGCTTCCCTGGGAAGGAGGTACCATTGTCTCCATTTTATACATAAGGAAACAGCAGCTTAAAGAGAAGGACGTGGCCAGAATCTTCCGGCCTGGAAGTGGCTGAGTCAGGACAGAAGTTACAACCAGGCCACCACCTCCAGGGCATGAGTGTCCAGCCTGGGCCAGGGGACTCGGGTTCCAGCAGGGTCAGGTGTGTGCCCAGGCCCTGATCTCAACCTTATCAGCCTGTGAGCTGTGACCCTGGGGAAGGAGAGTCTGGATCAGTGAGGGGCCCACACCGGCATGGATGCCTGCCCCTGGAGAAATGGGTGGAGCTGACAGCTTCACGGCCTCCAGATGCTCACTCATATCCCCCCTGAGCAGGCCCACAAGGGCACCGAGAAGGCTGCTTGTCCCCACCTCCAGATTAAGCAGAGCAAAGCTGAAGGAGGTCCTGGTTTGAGGTCTACCTGATCCCTATCTCAGCTCAGCCACTTGTGAGTTCTTTAGACTTGCACAGGCCTTTGACCCTCTCTGAGCCTCAGTTTTCTGTCTGTAAAATGGGAACACTTACATAGACCACACACACAGTGAAGATGAAATGAGATAACATGTAAAAGGACCTCACTGGTCAGAGGAGTCGGTGCTTAGAGAATGCTAAAACTCTCAGGTGGCATATTTCCTCAAAGACAAGGAGTTTAAAAATTGGGGGCCTGGGCCCTGGCGCTGACCTGCTCTGTGACTCTGAGACAGTGGTTCCCCCCCGCTGAGCTTCAGATCTCCACTGGACAGGCTGCTCTGACCTCCCCGTGTCCCTGGGTTGGTCGGGGAGTTGGTCGCCACCGGCTCAGTGGGGAATCCTTGGCCATGGCTGAGGGGAATCCGCCCAGTCCCCTGGCTTGTTGGAGCAGCAGGACGAAACATAAACAAAACCCAGACCTCAGCTGGTCCGGAACCACCTCCCTTTGACCCACATGAAATTGTCGAGGTTTTACCTGTCTGTGACTTCGCCCAGCCTTTGCACATGCTGCTCCTTCAGCCTGGATGCTGCCACCCCATTCCTACCTTCTACAACAGGTGTCCTCCCAGAGAAGACTTCACACAAGCACACACGCTGACCCTTCTCCAGGCTCCTAAATCACCTGTCCATAAAATCTGCATCCTGCCTGCACTTGTGAAAGGGCTGAGCTCTATTAACCTGCTCAGCTTAACTCATTCAATCCCTGAAGACCTGTGAGCTGGGGTCCTCAGCCCTCCTTGGACACAGGAGGGAGTAGGTTCAGAGAGGTTAAGGTCACACAGGAGGTGGGAGGCCCTGCTCTCAAGCCCCCCTCTCCTGGCCTCTCACTGCCTGGGTCACTGACTTCACTCGTTTAGAGGCTGGGGAAGCACTTAAATGCCTTCTGTTATTTCGGAGAATGCCTTCCTCCCGGGGATGTGAGAGCCTGGAGGGCCCGGGAGGGCTTGCTGTCCGATTGACTGCTGTGAGAAGAAAAAGCCAGTTGTCAAGGAGTATGCGGTAAACAGTCAAGTAACTTTCCCTCCTTGGGCCTCAGTTTCCCTTCCTGTAGAATGGGAGTGAGGAGGCCTGGGCTTCACAGCCCTCTCAGACTGAGCACCGATGGCTCTCAGAAGAGTTAGTGTCCGGTTCCCAAGCCCGCCCCCGTGGAGTAGTGGGGGCGGGATGGCCCCAAGGACTGCGGGTTCCCGACAGTTCCAGGGAGGTTCTGGTTAAGGGCTCCCCCCGCGCTGGGAAACCCCGACCTCCGCCAGCCCAGGTCGCGCTGTCGCTTTAAGGTCGGGCGCGGCACCTGGAGCCGCGCCACCCTGGAGTCTCCGCAGGCCCTGCGGCCGCGAGGACGCAGATCCGAGGAGAGGTGGGGCCGGCCGCTCCCTGAGCCCGAGCCCAGGGTCCAGGCCGCAGTCGGCCAAGCCCGAAGCGTGGGCGGGAGCCAGGGGGTGATCATCACCGGAGTCGACAGCGAAGCCGGACTCCACGCGCCCCTCGGCGCTCCCACCCGGTGACCGAGACCCTGCGCGGTGAAGCGGGCTCTGCACCGCTCCCACCGGATCGGGGCGGCGATCGGACGGGACGCACGGCGGCGGACGAGACGCCCTGGACCAGACCCGGAGCCGGACAGTAGCGCTTCTGCGGGCTCGGAGAGGTGGGCTGGGGGACGGTCGCCGGGCCGCCCCTAACGCCGGGCGCCCCCTGCAGACCAGAGAGACCGCCCTTCCCAGGTTCGCTCTGCCCACGGGCGCGACAACCATCATGCCTTCACGTGACTCCGCTCGGCTCGCCAGGCTCCCCGCTCCGGGACCACGCCTGACCCTGCAGCGCGATGGCTGCGCGCAAGGTGGGTATAAGCTTCCTTCTCTCCCCGCCCTTGGGAGCATCTCGGCTCCTCCTAATCCAGCCCCCCTCCCCCGGACCCCTTCCCTTCACCTTGACCTCAGTGACTTGGTGAGCAGAGTCTGGACACCCAAGTCTCCTCCTGTGTTCTAACTTGTTGGGTGGCCTTGGACCATGGCGCTTAGAGCCTCAGTTTACCCGGGGTTACACGAAGATGGTTTGGAACACTTCTTGTTCAGATGGTTTAGTTCTTTACAGAAAACTGGCACCTAAAGTTGCCCTGTTGGTAGCAGGGATAGTACGATATTATTTGTGCCCATTTTACAAAGGAGGGAACTGAGGCATGGAGAATCTAAGTAACTTACCCAGTGTCAGAGCCAGGGTCCATCCTCTCTGTCAAGCTGTGTCACTGTTTGCCATCTTGCCACCTCATCTTCACAACTTGCTCCCCAGGAAGTTGTGGAATTTGAGCTCAGAGATGTTGGGCCGCCTGATCAAGGTCACAGAGCTAACAGAGTGGCTATAGTCAGAGGCAGTGATAACTCTGGCTGGTGGGAGGTGGGGTGGCAGCAGCAGAAAGGCTTCTGGGAGGAGGTGTATTTGGCATGGGTCTTGAAGGGGGGTGTGAAATGAGGGCCCTGAATGGGGACAGAGGGCTCCCCAGGAGCGGCAGGTGTAGGGGACCCCAGGAGTTTGGGTGCATGGGTGGGGGGGATATGAGGGAGCTGGAAGGAGGGGCCAGCCTGGCAGCCTGACTGAGTGCCAGATTGGGAGTGGGACTCCTCTGGGATTAGAGACGTTTCCTCCCTGCCCCGGGGCTGGGGTTATGCCCTCCAGGGCAGGGAGCCCTTTCTTCCTCCCCCACCAGGGTCCAGGGTACACTACTGTGAAGGGTGAGTAAACTGCCTGAAGACCGCGTCTCTGAAATGGGCCAGGGGAATCTGGGGCACGACACCCTTCCCATAAGCCATCAGAGCCCCGATCTGTAACAATAATGAAGACCACCTCACAACAGAACAGGCTGTCCTTCATCCAGCTGGACGTTGACGCCTTCCATCTCCCGGGGGTGGTAGGTCATTGCGTGCTCTGCCTGCCCATGGTGGATCCACGTGGAGGGAGGGAGACTCACACAGAAGGAGATGACAGCATCCAGTGAGAACATGCTAAGGGGAATTCCAGGGGCTTACCTGAGGTCCGGGACCATTTGAATCAGGAAGGAGGGCAGAGCATTTTAGAAGGTGGGATCTGCCCGTGCTGAAGATTTACAAATGCATCTATTCACGGCACGGTCTCAACTTTATATACTGAAAAATACAGATGGATCTAGCTATGCACACACAGGGATTTGATTCAGACTCGACCTGGTTCAAATTTGGCACTGACCTTGGACAAGCTGTCACCCTCGAAGCTCCAGTGTCCTCAGAACATAATGCTGTTGTAGGATTAAGATGTTGGGTACCTGTGAAGTGCTGGATGTGGTTCCCAGCGCCTGTAAAGGCCCAGTACACGTCTGCTGCCGCCATCATCAGCCATGCAGGCCAAGGGAGGGCTGGAAAGGAAGCATTCACTTGCAGATCATGCTCATCTCTGTGGGGCAGCATTAATGATGATTTGTATTTTGCATTTTTATTCTCTTCTGTGGTTTTCTCCTCTTCTCCACAATGAGGAACTATTGCTTTTATAGAAATTTAAAAGCATCGTAAGTTACCTTACTCAGGAGTGAGTTCTGCAAGGGTTGAGACACACAGCTGTATACGGCTTTGGGCAAAGTCCCTCACCTTTCTGGGTTCAGTCTCCTCATTTGCAAAACAGGAATTTCTTTCCCTGCCCTGACCATCCACCTCAGTTGTGGTGAGTCGGATGAGATTCCAGGTATGAAGCGGAACTGTCAAGTGCCATTATATACAGGCAAAGGGTTACCGTTATAGATTTGCTGTGTTTTTTTTTCCCCCCAAGCTGATTTCTCCAGCTTTTCCTTCTGACAGCCTCTCCTCGCTGTCTGACTTTGGAAAGACTGTAGTCAGGTTCTTTTTCTCTTCCCCAGAAAATGCCTTGAGCTGGAGACAGGAGGCCTTGCCCCATAGACAAATTCACAGGAAGAGAATTGAAGGTAATTTACAAGTGGCATTTTTCTAAATGCTTCTGGTGGCCTGGAGGCTCAGAAAGATTGGGGTCCACTCCTCGAGCATTACATGTATACATTCTCTCTTTCTCTCTCACGTGCATACACACACACATACACACACACGTTTTTAAACACATCTGGGAACATGCCCTTTTGAAATCTAAAGGCTCGCCTACTAGATCTTGAACTGCCTTTGAATGGCTGCACAGCAGGTCATCATTTGATGCACCACATTAGGCTGGGCAAGTCCCCATTTGTAAGGCTGACGATTGAAGCCTTCCTAAGGTCTGTGAGTTCCCCAGCCCCCTCCTTCACCGGCTCAACTTTTGGAAGAGGAGAGGGGCCCTCTGTAAGTTCTGCTAGCAGCCTGTTAGAGAGCCTGTCCTTTGTACAGGTGAGGAGACAGGCCCGGAGCAGTTGAGAGGCTCAACCCAGGACACGGCTGGTGAGCTGTAATGTAGGGACTAAAACCAGGCTCCAAGGCTGGGTGCTATAGCAGCTGGAATCTTGTGTTCCCTCCCCTCTCCCAGCCCCTCCCAACTGCGAGAGGGGCTTTTCACACAACAAGGTTTATTCAGCAACGCTGTTTCTCATTTAGGAGAATTTCTTCAACAAATGTTTATAGAGCAGCTACTATGTGCTAGGCACTGGGGGTTATAGCAGTGAACAGGGCCTATACAGACCCTGTCCCCAGGAAGCTTCCTGTGTGGTAAGGACAATAAGCAAAGGAGAAACCAAACAGGCAGGATAAAAGCTTGGTCCAAGAAAGCCCAGGGGACTCCAAGTTTAAAGTGTCCCCAGGGAAGGCTTCTCAGGTGAGGGCCAAGCTGAGCTGGGAGGGGAGACGCAAGTTACCAGGCAGAGGGAACAGTATGTACAGCAGCCTAGAGGTTGGCTTTGGGGACAGCCCCTTCCTGTCTGCATAATCTGGAGCCAGGGCTCCTCCCAGTTATTTTTTTCCCCCTGGGCATTTTGTCTTTGCCTCATTGAGATAACACTGTGCACATAATTTGGCAAACTAAGTTGAAACAGGTCAGATATCATAAGCATTTACTCCGTTGTTAAACATTTGTGTTGAGCTTTTAAAAAAATGAGTCATGAATATTCCATCTAGAGTTTATGCCGTGGTTTACTCACCCTTTCCCTATAGTTGGACACTTAGGCTCTTTCCAAATTACAACCATTAAAAATAAGGCCATGGTGAACATCTTTTTGCACAAAGGTTTGCTTTGTGTCATGAATTTCAACTTCAGGCTTCTCAGTGCCCCTTTCCCACTAGCTCCTTTACCCACCCCCAGTTTCAATGTCTTCCTCTGTCAAATGGAGATAAGAGCACTGACCTTTCCAGACTGTGACGAAGGTGAAGTGAGGCAAGGCGTAACCAGCAAGCCTCTCTCCTGGCAGGCCTGGCGGACCCCGCAGCGTTCACTCTTCTCCCTCCCAGCCTGCAGTGGGGAGTCTCATGCACACCAGGCTGGTGAGGCCTCTGAGTCCGGGGGGAGTCCTGGAGTGAACCCAGCCACACTTAACTGAGCTCCTACCAGGTCCCAGGTGTGGTGCTAGGAACTTGAGACACATTATTTGTGGCCTTCAGAACAGCCCTGCAAAGTTGGGAGCATCATCTCCATTTCACAGATGAGGAAACTAAGGCACAGAGAAGTCAAATGACCCCTCTGAGTTTGCACAGTGACCTCAGGCAGGAGGACTAAAATCCAGTCTCTGGTACCCAACAGGCCTCTCACGGGCCCCGTTTCCTCTTCTCTCTCCTTCTCGGTGTCCAGACGTGTGACAGCGGCCGTGTGGCCTCCACCCTGTGCTACTGCATGACGGTCACCGGCATGGTGGTTCTGGTGGCCGGGACACTCTGCTTCACCTGGTGGAGTGAAGAAGATGCAGAAGAAGAGCCAGCCAGCCGGCTCTGCCCACAGGACGCCCTGAGCCTGAGGCCCCCGGTCCCCTGTTCAGGTCGGTCAGCTTCTTCTGCTGCGGTGCAGGTGGCCTGCTGCTGCTCTTCAGCCTGCTGTGGTCTGTCAAGGCCAGCACCAAGGGGCCGCCTCGATGGGACTCATATCACCTCTCCAGAGACCTGTACTACCTCACTGTGGAGCCCTTGGAGAAGGAGAGCTGCAGGTCAGCAGGGCTGGGTGGAGGCCACAGGTGGGGCACTGTCACATCATCATGCATTTGCTCAGCAAACTTTCATGGGGTTTCTCCTCTGGACCAGACGTTGCCTATGCCCTGGGGTCTTGGAGGCTGATCAGCACTCCTGGAAGAGTTTAAAGTCCCTCGACAGAGGCAGACTTTGACAAATCAGAGTAGTTAAAGCTGTGAAAGAGGACAGACATGGTTCTGTGGGGACATGGAGAAATCCAGGAAGGCTTCTTGGAGGAGGTGGCAGCAGAGCTCAGCATACAATAATAGCAAATGCCTGTATAGTACTTAAATGAGATGATGTATATGAAGAACTCAGCCCAGAGCCTGGCGCACAGTAGGTGCACAACAAATGTCAACTTTTCCTCAAGTAGATAAGGTGGAGAGAAGTGTTTTAGGCAAGCAGAAGAGCGTGTGCAAAGGCCCAGGGGTGAGGTGGGGAATGGAGACAAAACCTTGCATTTGGACAATATTTCTCATCTTTTTTTTCATTATCATTCCCTCTAAGGAGACTTTTTAGGCATTTTTTTCTTCATCCTCCCCCATGAAATGTTAATACCACAGGTATACTACATATTTGGTCTGTATGTATATTTGTGCTTTATATGTAAACACAGTATCAGCAAGAGTCCAAGAACCAATTTTTGCCCTATTGAGAATGCATGTATCTTACATGCTCTTATGTACTTACTCATTCACCAAGTATCAGCTGGGCAGGCATATCAGGGGCCTGCATACATCTTCCCCAGCCTAACCTACCTGCAAGGTAAGAATTACTGTTGTCTTTTACAGAAAAAGAGGGTGAGGGTTATACAGCTAGAAAGTAGCAGAGCCTGCTGGCTATGAAGTGTGCATTCCCCCACACCACTCTGTAAGCACTGGATTTGCATGTACTAAGGGTTAAGCCATATATTTGGCAACTGGCCTCGGACCTGGGCACCCTTCTTCCCTTGGTTAGAGGGAAAAATGCATTCTGAGTTAAAGAAAGTAACAGATTAGTCCCTGCTACTGGCCTGTGACTCCTTGAGGTCACAGACAATAAAGTATTCAACAGAAGCCCCTTATTCCAATGGTCAGGCCTTAATTTGACTATTAGAGGGAAGGGCAGGGCCTTGGGGACTCTTCTCAGCTGAGAAACCTGGGTCTCAGAGAGACCAGTGACCTACCTGGTCACACAGTCGGTTAATGGTCAGTTGGAACCAGACCAGGCCTCGGGGTGCTCTGGACTGGAGCCTGTCCCTCCCCGCCCAGCCTGGCCTGAGCACAGAAGGTAGGTGTTGTCTGTAGACACAGCCGTGTTGACCCAACAGGGTCCGGGGCATAGCTGCATCTGTCAGGTGGGGCCACTTGGCCTTCATTCCCAGCCGGGCCAGGGAGGAGCCTACCCAGGAGGCTGTGGGGTGCTCATGGCCCATCAGGTTCAGAGACCAGGTCTTAGATTCAGAGCTGGGGTGGCTGGATGTTGGAGAGGCTGCTTCTGCTAATGGCTCTTTCTTGTCCCTGGGGCTGAGCCACCCTGGCCCTCCTGCTGAGAACCCAGCATCTGGGCCCCATGGGGAGGCCACTCAGCTGTCCCTGCCCCCAGGGTCCTTGCTCTCTGCAGGTAACTCTAGGTTAGAGAGAAAGGCCTTCTAGGCTGATGACTTGGGCAGGTCCATTTCTCTCTTGGGGCCTCAGTTTCCTCATTTATTCATCTACTTATTCTTTCCTGCATTTCACCAACATTTACTGAGTACCTAACTATGCAGAGCGCTGACAATGCAGCAGTGGATGAAACAGACAAAACCCCTCCTCTCAGGGGCTCCCATCTTAAGTGTGAGCCCTAAATGAGGTGCCTGGATGGGAAGCCTCCTGGGACACCCCCCCCACTCCCGCCGACGCCTCAGTAAGTACAGCAGAAAAAGCGTGGGTCTAGTCAGACACGAGGCTTTCGTGTCTGCTCTTTCTTTTCTAAGCTCTGTATTCTTGAGCCTGTTACTTAGACTCTCTGAACCATGTCTAGTCCTTCCCCTGTCAATCCTGGAATTTTCCCTAGGATTGCTGTTAGGCTCAGATGAGATGATAGATGGGGAGGTGTATTCACTGCATAGTTTGCTGTTCTGCCCGCACTTTCATTTTATGATGTACTCTCATGCCTCCTGATTTGAGCCTCACTGCTTATGAGGCAGTGTAAGGATTAGATCCATTTTGCAGATGAGAAAGCTGAGGTGTGGAGAGATTAGGCCTCAGGGTTGGGGGAGCTGTGATGGGTGGAGTTGGCGTGGGTTTTGCAAGCAGGCAGAGCTGGGGCTTTGCCGCTTCATTGGAGTGCGGCCTCCACTCACCTGTGCAATGGCTGAGGGCTGCTACCCCCAGGCTTGTCATGAAAGTGAAATAAGATTAGAGAGCTTGAGTGTTGGGCATACAGCGTTTCATCCCTGGTCCCTGTCCCCTTTCCCTACTGTGTTTGCTTGACTCAGCTGAATAATGGAAGAGCTGGTGCCAGGCTCAGATCTCACGTCCCCACCAGGCTCCAGAGAGTGGGATGAGCCCCAGCCTCGGTGGAGCTTCCTGTGCATGGGGACCACAGTGGCCAGCCCGCCCCACACGGCTGCAGGGGGCCACATCCAGAATACACCACAAATGGGCCTGCCCCTGAAGTGTGCAATATGGTCACCCTGAACTTCATGTTCCCCAAGTTTCCAGCCTGCTGGACCATGACTCTGGCAACCTGGGGCCGGGTGGGCCCAGCTGGCTAGGTGAGGTGGCATGAGGGATACTGCACCTCTGCCCTCGAAGCAAACTTCCTGCTGTGGTCTGATCTCACCTGCCACCTGTGCCCTGCTCTGCCAGCTGTTGCCTGCTGGAGCGGCCCCAGGCATACCCAAAACCTGACTCATGTCTCTGGGGCTTGGAGAAGTAGGGAGCAGCAGGGCCGTGGCTGGGAGGTGAGCAGGGCAGGAGATGTGGGGTTCTGGAAGCCTAATCACCCATATTTTCCTGAGCGTTGTCAAAGCATTTTCCATTTTTCCCTCTCCCTGAATCTACAAAATGGGAATTGTTATCCTCATTTTACAGATGAGGAGAAAGGCTCAGAGAGGCTGTGAACATAGCCTAGGTTACACAGCAATTGAACCTAGTTTGCCTACCTCCAGGAGCAATATTCTTTGCCTGCCCTCACCTCAAAGGATGCTGGGAGTCAGAGGCGGGTGAGACCCCTTATCTGATTTCTCAGCTGCAGGGCTCCTGGGCTTCTGAGGAGGAGGGTCTGTGAGAGAAGTTTGCAAAAGCACTGGAAGGGGAGCCCAGCTTGGGCTCTTGGCTGGTGCCCTCCATCAGACTGGCACACAGCCTGCTCCATGACCTTGGTCACGTGGTCCCAGTGGGCTGCTCTTAGGGCTGTGGTGGGCGTGGGCTGAGAAGATACGTTGCCCATAGAAGGGCCATGTCCACGGGGGTGATGGGTGCTCACCTGAGGGGCAGCAAATTCCTGGCACAGCTGCCCCATCACCACTGGAGCGAAGACCCCTCCACCACCTGTCTGTCCTCTGGCCAGCCTCCTGCCATCGGTCTTCCCCTGTCTAGACAGGCTGGTATAGATTGAACTAATTTGCTGCTGGCTCCAAACTGATGGCCTTGGGCAAGTGACAGCCTCTCTGAGCCTGTGTGGCTCCTGCTAGCAGCAGATCTGTGATAACTTTTGTTACCTACACCCCTGCCTCATGGAGACCTTTGAGATTTTGTTACCAGCTCCCATTTATGGAGCATGTGCTAAGTGTCCCTGTATTACCTCATGTAATCTTCTTACGGTCCTGTGAGGTAGATGCCCTTATTGTCCCCATTTACAGATGGCGAAACTGGGGCCTAGGTTAATGGAGTTACTGACTCATGATCTCCCACCGAGAATGTGGCTGACCAGCCAGTGCTGACTCATAGCCAGCCCTCGAGCCACTTGGGGTGGGAGGGGACCTCCAAGGTCACCTAGTCAACCTCCATATCTGGCAGTATCTTCCCAAAGCAGAAGCAGTCCAGACAGAGGATCAGTGACCCTCCCACCCCCAAGGTCCTGGGAGGGGAAGGGGCCCTGACTTCCCAGAGATGACCCCCCCAGGGCCCTGGGAGGACCGAGGGCCAGCCTCATTCCCATCAGCATTGTTGTGGCTGGGATGCAAGTGACCTGTTCTTGGAATCTAGTGGGCAGAGCCTGGTCAGAGGAGCCTCAGAGGATCTGGTCTGTACCTCAAGTCCCTCCAGGGTGGTTCATTTGGGGGAGGTGGGGGAAAGTCACAGGAAAGCCAAGCTCTTTAGAGATAGATAGGGTTGCCTGGGTAGAGAGTGAGCTCTCCGTCTCTGGAGGTATGCAAGTAGAGGTAATCACTTGGTGGACTTATCATATCAGGGCCTCAAGCATCCAGATGGGCAGGGGAATTGAGGTCTTGCATCCTGCCCTGGGCATCCACAACTCCAGATTTTGTAAGGGAGATGGTTACAGTAAGCTGGAAGTCTTTCTCCCCATTGATCATCACTCAGTCTTTCAACAAACATCCCCAAGCATCAATCCCTGGACACCCAAAGTCAGTCCCTGCCCTAGGGGATAACCAGCTGGGGTCAAGAGTGACAGAAGGGAGAGGACTGTGGGGACCCAGAGGAGGGAGTGGGAGATTTGCTAGGGGAGGTCAGGAGAGCTCCCCGGAGGAGACTCAAAGGACAAGTGGGGATTGACCAGCAGGGAAGGGGTGAGGGAGGTGGAAAGGACTTTCCCTGTCGAGAGAACTGAGGAGACAGAGGGTGTGGTGAGCCCATGTGGGGAACCAACTGTATGGAGAACTAACTATAGCACAGGGAGGGTGCAGTTCGGGGATGTGAGGTTGGCGGGGGCCGGCTGATGTCAAGCTTCAGCTGTGTCTATGGGGCCCTGGGGAGCCTACAGCCTTCCTCGCTCTCTTCCTGGCACGCAGTAGGGTTTTGCCCCACCCCCTGCTCACAGCCTCTCTTCTGTCCCTGTAGGACCCCAGAGGTGGTTGCCATTCCCACTTATGAGGAGGTCGTGCACTGCCGACTGGCTGAGGGGCCCCTGACACCACCTGCATACCCCGTGGAGGAAGACCCGGAGCGCAGTGCCTCGGGGGATGCCCTGCTTGGGGCCCAGCCCCCCTTGCCTCCGCCCAGCTACGAGAGCCTCATCCTTGCTGACGGTGGCTTCTCTGGAGAGACAACACCTGGGGCTGCGTGCTCCTGCCCAGGCCCGGTTCAGATTGCAGGGGAGGAAGTTAAAGGCTTCTAGCAGGCCTGGAAGCCAGAAACAAATGATGGGCTTCTTCTAGCATCTGGTACAGTGCCTGGTACACAGCAGGCACTCAGTGTTGCTGAATGCTGTTTTATTTTTCTATTGCTATGTAACAAATGGCTTGAAATAAATCCATTTCATTCTCTCTCATGATTCTGTGGGTCACCTGGGCCCAGCTGGGTGGTTCTGCCCCATGTGACACTGGTGGGGCTGTAGTCTTCAGGGCCCAGCTGGGCCGGCACGCCCAAGATAGCACACTCACGTGGCTGACAGTTAGTACTGGCTGTCAGCTGGGAAATGTTCTTGTGCCGATGAGAAAATTGAGGCCCAGAGGCACAGCCAGGACTGGCCCAAGGGAACACACTGAGTTTATAACCAAAAGAACATGGACTCTGAATTCAGACCACCTGTGCCTGGGTTCCACCAGGTACCCGCTGGTGAGTGACCTTGGACAAGTGACTTTACCTCTCTCTGCCTCAGTTTCCTCATCTGTAAAATGGGAATTGGGAATTACAAAGGCACCAGCCCCTACTTTAGAGAGCTGAGTTTTGAGGATTAAATGAGATAACAGTTGACATTATGAGATCACACTGACCCTGCAGGCTCAGTGCTAATGCATCAAACAATAAATGCAGACTTCTTAGCACAGAGGCTGGTGTCTCTTAAGTATGCAGTGATTGTTAGATTTTGTTAGTAAAGGTAACCCCCTCCACCAGGTGCCTCTGCTTCTATACCTCCTGTGACAGGGAGCTCGATACCTCTGCTTATATTCCAGATAGGCAGAAGGGTCTGCTTTCACAATGTCATATCCCATTCACAGATGAGAAAACCAGCCCAGAGAGGCTAAGTAACCTTCCCAGGGGCGCTCAGCCAGCAGGAGTTCAAAGTCCTGGGGCTCAGTCAGCTGTGTAGGGACACTATTCCCTGAGGGCCTACCATTTACTGGGCCAGGTTCTCTGCTGTTGTTTCACAACCTCAAGGCCTCTCTGCTGCAGGTGGTGGCCCCACTTATCAGGTATGGAAACTGAGCCTCAGAGAGGTAAAAATCACAGAGAAGAAAGGTTTTTCATGTAAATAAAGGTATTTTCATTCAGGCCTGGTTGGGCTCCAGGCCCCGGGTCCTCCCACTTAGGCCTGGACCAGCTCAGTAGCTGCCTTTCCCAACGCCCTGCTTCTGCCAGGGTCCCCTGAAGTCTCTTCAAAGCTCAGCAGATGGAATGAGCCTGATCAAACCCAGATCCATAACATCCCTCCTGGGCTCAAAACCCTGAGTGGTTCCCAGCTCACTTTGCGTAATGAAAGCCCTAATGAGGATGGTATGGGTGGGTCTGGGTCCCTCCCCTTGCTCTCTGCTGCTGTTGGTTCCCCTGTGGGCCTTTGCTCCTGTATTTTCTCTCCAGAAGCTCTTCCCCAGGCTCACTCCTCATGCCCCTTGCATCTTTGTCCCTCTCTTCAACACACCGTCCTGGACCACTCTGTTAAAACTGTTGTCTCACCCAGCCCCCTGCACTCCCAGCCTCCTTCCTGCTTTACTTGTTTTTGTGTGTGTTTTGTTGCGGTACGCGGGCCTCTCACTGTTGTGGCCTCTCCCGTTGCGGAGCACAGGCTCCGGACGCGCAGGCTCCGGACGCGCAGGCTCAGCGGCCATGGCTCACAGGCCCAGCCGCTCCGCGGCATGTGGGATCCTCCCGGACCGGGGCACGAACCCGTGTCCCCTGCATCGGCAGGCGGACTCTCAACCACTGCGCCACCAGGGAAGCCCCTGCTTTACTTTTTAAATAACACCTGTCATCATTTAATATTTTACCTTTAAAAAATTTGTTTGTTTGTTTGTTTGTTGTATGTTTCTCCCCACCAGTAAGGTCTCTGAGAGCAGGGATTTTTTTTGTTTCTTTCCTTTACATTTATATCCCTAAAGCCTAGAAACGGAGCCTGGCCCGTGGAAGATGCTCAGTAGATATTTGTGGACTGAGAGAACGAATCAATAAATGTCAGCTATCACGATTGTTTCTGGGCCCTCTCTCAGCCATCTGAGCCAGATCTTGTGGATCTTCCTGTGGGTCTTGTGGATCCTCTCCCTCCCCCTTCACCAAATCCTGGATCCCCATCCTGTACCCCTTCCCTTCCTCCCCGTCTCCCCTGTGTGTGCTTTATACTTACTGCTATGATGGAGATGCAGGTTTGAATGCTGCCTTAGCCCTGACCTTTCTGTGTGACCCTGAAATATGTGTGCATGTGCGTGCGCGTGCACGCACACACACACACACACACCAGCTTCCTGTGTGAACCATGGGGATTTGGTTGGGGGAGGTGCGGGGGATTTATCAGACCCTCTGCAATTCCAAAGGGGTTAATGGGGTTCCAGGCTGGGAAGCAGAGCCCAGCTTCCCTCCTACCCCCAAACTGAGGAATTTCCCCCAGGCAGGTGAGTTAATGAGTTGCAGGTGTGATTTGGAGGTACCACCACCTTTGCCAAGTGGGAGCTGGAAGGGGCAGGGGTGGGGAAGGCTGGAAGACCGGAAAAGCCTTTTCTGGTTTCCTCTCTAAGTCAGCTCATCTGCACCCCAGCTGAAAGCCACCAAGGAGGGGCAGTGATTTGCTCAAGGTCACCAGCTCCTTGGAGGCCAAGCCAGGGCCACGGAGCCAGTCTCCCTAACCCTAACCCTAACCCTGCCAAGCCAAGGGTCCTTATGAGACGCAGTGGCCTTGCTGTGAACTGGGAAGGCCTCAGGCTGGGCAGCCCCCTGAGGCTGGGTCTGTCACTCCAGCCCCCAGTAGGCACTGGTTTGCTGCCTGGTATCTTTCCTCCTGGGCCTGGATGACTGGTTTCTTCATCCATCATTCAGAGCTCACATCTGGTGCCCACCACCAGGCCTGGGACATCAGGGACCCTCTGAGCTCAGGCCTCTCCCACGCTTTCCCTGGGCCCCTCCTTTGCCCTGTTTCCCTCTGTGTTGACCGGTGACCCCGCACCCTGGAGCTCGCCACCTCAAATCAGTTGGAAAATTCCCAGTCAGAAATTCCCTTGCCCTCCATCCCCTCAGCAACTAATTAATCTTTAAAAACGGTTCATTTTCATCTTTCCCTCCCTAGGTTTCTGCTAGAGTCTGGCAACTGCCCTTCACTTCCACCATCTCCTCTTGTTTCTTCCAACCTGATCTCAGAACCAGAGAATCAGTGTAAAATTAAAATCTGACCTGTGTCACCCCCCTGCACAACTCCCTGGGAGGCTCCCTGTTGGCCTCTGAAAGGTGTTGGCAACCTTAGCCTGACCCCAGGAGGTTTCCTACCTATGCCTCCTCTCCGGCCTCCCTCTCCTCTGGAGCCAATAGCCATCCCTCCATTCCCAAACATGAATTGAGGGCCAACCAGTTCTAGTCCCTGGAGATACCACAATGAACAAAACAAAGCCCCCAGCCTGTGGGAGCTCGAATTCTAGGGGAGGAAGACAGACAAGAGACAAGAGTAATAAATGATGTGTCCAGTATGATGGATGGTGACGAGTACTACGGAGAAAAGTAAATGGGAAGGGAGGACAGGCAACACCTGGGGGAGGGGGTTCTGCAGTTTCAGATGTCATACCAGAGGTGGCCTCGTTGTGAAGCTGACATTTGGACAAAGAATTGAAGAAGGTAAGGGAGGGAGCCATGCAGATATCTGGAGGAAGAACTTTCCAGGTGGAAGGAAGAGCAGAGGCAAAGGCCCGGGGGTGGCTGTGTATTCCCAGAAGAGCATAGAGCCAGGGTGGCTGGGGTGGAGGGGGTGAGGGGAGATGTGGCAGGAGATTATCTCAGAGGGGTGATTGGGTGGGCAGCATGGGCAAGTTATCTAGGGCTTTGTAGGCCATTTTAAGTCTTAGCTTTTACTCTGATAGGGCCAGGAACTATTCCAGGGTTCTGAGCAGAGGAGTGACATGGTCTGACCTGACATTTGGGTGGGAAAGAGATTTCAGCCAGCAAGGGTAGAAGCAGAGATCTCTTAGAAGGACAGACATGATGGGCCTCAGACTGAGGCAGGAGATGGATGGGCTCCAGGCTAGACATTTACAACTAGCCTCCTGTTCACACTTCCTGGGGTGAGAAGAAGATGGGCTCCAGGCCGGACATTCATTCCCAACCCCCTGTTTACATTTCCTGAAGCAAGAGACAAATGGGCTCCAGGACTACATATTTATGACCGGACTCCTGTCTATATATATATATTTTTTTTTCGGTACGCGGGCCTCTCACTGTTGTGGCCTTTCCCGTTGCAGAGCACAGGCTCCGGACGTGCAGGCTCAGCGGCCATGGCTCACGGGCCCAGTCGCTCCGCGGCATGTGGGATCTTCCCGGACCGGGGCGCGAACCCGTGTCCCCTGTGTCGGCAGGCAGACTCTCAACCACTGCGCCACCAGGGAAGCCCTCCCGTCTATATTTTGAGATCTGCACCTTGATATAAAAACCAGCAACAGAAATAGGGTAAATAACCGGATTTTGGACATTTTTATGTCAGGGACAGAGAGGGGCTAAACCCTGTTAAAAGGTCAAGAGGTCATACATTTCCCATGCTTGGGGTAATGGAAACATTGCACATGCACAGAAATGCTCCTTGGGGGTCAAAAAGGAGGGAGCACCACCCCATAATATGTGATGCTAAGGCTGTCCCATAGGCCTCTGGGCTGGAATCCATTTTGGAAAAAAGTTGCGCATGCATGTTGGGGAGGACCCTAGGGCAGGGCAGGTGTGGAAAAAGAAACAAGATGATTGGCCAAATGTAAACAAAGACCCGGAAGAACTGCCCTGTATGAATGACTTAACTGCTTCTTTACTACGCTCCTCATTAGAGAGGATGCCCACACCCTTTCTCTCCAGGTGTGCATCTCTGCCTTGCTTCTGTCTTAACTGAACAAACTGTTTCTCTGTGTGCTCTCGCACTTGTTGTTGTGCTATGTCTCCGATGATAAACTTTGACTGGTTTTTACAGTTTTGCCTCCGTGAGAAATGCATTTTTCACTGGGGGCAAGAGCCAGGGGGCGTGGTGGCCAGGATTCCTGGTTTTCATCCAGGCTACCCAGGTTCAATTTCTGGGCAGAGAATTAAGATCTCGCTTCACGCCACCACTCACTTCTGCCTCTCTGAGCTCAAGACCAGGGTGATGAGC